AAGGAGGCCGGGCGCCCTGGCCCGGAGTCCGGAAAATATTCGGGCCCGCGGGAGGCTGTTGTAGGCGTTGGAGCAGTCGAAAGCTAAGACCACGTCGCGCGGGTGTCCCTCCCTCCCTCCCTCCCTCCCTCCTTTCCTCCGCGGGCGCCTATAATTATGAACGCGCCCGGCCTCGCCCACCCCTTGCCGAGCAGCGCTGCGCGGCCGCGCGCCCCCCGCGCGCGCCAGGCCGGCAGACGACGACCAGCACGCCTGCCGCTGGCCCGTGGCCGCGGCGGCCCCGCGCGCCGCGCGCCGCCCGCGGGGGCACCGCGCCCCGTCGCCGCCGACAGGCGCGCCCCGCGGGCGCGGCCGGCACGGCCGCGGAGAGGCCGCTGCGGAGTGCTCGCGCGGCGGGCGCCCCGCGGGCAGAGGGTAGGACAGCAAAGGGTAGGACAGCAAAGGGGGGGGGCGAAAGGGCAGGACCGCAAAGGGCAGGGCAGCAAAGGGGGGGGGCGAAAGGGCATAGGGCAGCAAAGGGCAGGGCAGAGCAGCAGCGCCCCGGCGCCGGGAGGCGGTCGCGCAGATAGCGAGGGGTGGGCCCGGCCGCGGGGGCCAGAGCCGGCTGCACGCGGCAGACGTCGTAGCCCCCCCCCCCCCTTGCCCTATAAGTACCCCCCCCTTCGTCGTTCGGCCTGGGGGGTCACCGGAGGAGCACCGAACAGGGAACCTGCAGGAGGGCGCCTCGAGCCGCGGCGAGCCTCGGCCGCGGGCGAGCTCCCCAGCCGGGCGCTGGGGCTCGCGGCCCGGCAGCGAGAGCCCCTCCCCCCAGAGGCCCAAACGGCCCTTTTGTCGGCGTCTTGGCCGTTGGCGCTGGGCCCGCTGGCGAGCCCCTCGTCCCCAGTGGCGCCGAAAGTGCCTGCCGGCCATGGTTGTGTCGGGCGTGTCCCCCTACAGGGGGGTCTTCGACGAAAAATTAAACATACCCCAAAAATACCCCAACAATGTCAAAACAGACTGCAAAAAAAAATCCCCCGACTATCTTTTCGGACTATGTTTTGACGTTTTTTATATATCTTTTATTCTTCATCGAAGATCCCCCTGTAGGGGGACAGGCCCGACTTAAGGCGATGGCCGCGAGCCCCTCATCCCCCAGCGCCAGTGGCGCCGAAGGCGCCCCGCGGCCGCGGCCGCGAGGCGCACAAGTCGCCCGCGCGCGCAGGGCTCCGCCAACGCGCGAGCGGGCGCCCGCCGATGCTCGCCGCTCTCTGGCACGCCGCCTCCGAGCGGCAGCGCGGAGCCGCGCGCGCGTGCTGTCCTGCTGCGCACAGGGCAGTTTTTAGTACATGGGATTTTCAAAAATATAGGATGTTTGGTACATGACTAATGTATGAATACATGTATGCATGCACTCCTCGTTGCTTTGATACTGAATCCCTGCATGTTGAATTTAATACACGATCCGCACGCGGAGCATGTGTTGAAACCAGCGCTGCAATCCCCCTGCTCTGCTTGCCCCCAGGCGCCGCCGTGAGCGCTGCCTGGCTCTCTTCCGCCTCCGCGGCACGTCGGCGTCCGCCTCTGGGCCGGGCCTCCGGTCGATGCTTCCGGGCGGCCCGCAAAAAAAGGCGGGCAATACTTCTGTCCATATCCACTGCAGTATGGAGTTTCGGGCTCCCTTCTCAAGAAACCCGAGTCGCACTGGATATGGATGAACTTGCCCCCCAGAGAGGCTCGATTGTTATCCATACCCAGTGCGCCTCGGCCTTGTGGCGCCGCTTCCAAAAAAGTCCAAGAGGCACTGGATTAGGGAGCCCACAAAGGACGTACGCGCCCAGCTATGTACATGAACACGGCCCCTCGATCCGCGAGACTGGCCGCGTTATACGAACATTTGCGCAATGCGTACTCTCGAAACCAGCGCGGATTCATGTACGTGTACGTCCTTCTTTCGCTCCTGATGGATATGGACATGAATCTTGCCCGCAAAGAAGGCGCGGGGCGGCGCGGGCGGCGAGAGCTCTTCGCGCCGAGCAATCGCGGCGCATGCGCCTTCGCGGCCCTCGTCGCGCCGCCGCCGTCTCGGAGAGCTTCCCGCGAGGCACGGCAGGTAGAGGACACGCGCACGGCAAGCAGTGGGAGAACTGCTGGGGAAACTGCGGGGGGAACTGCTGGGGAAATGGCTGGGAAGCTCCCTGGGCAAACTGCTTGGAGAATCACTGGGACTCTTACAAAGGGACACTGCGAGGCTGCAACGTGCTCCGCGCGGCCGAGGCGAACGATACGCTCCCGGGAAGTCCGGGGAAGTTACAGTGGAAACCCAGGACAAGAAACACCCTGCTTGCTTCCAGAGTACCCCGGGTTTCTTTGGTTTCGATGGTTTTGCCACGGAAAGCGTGACGACCAAAAATCTGCCGACCCCTTCACCCCGGCCGGGCGGGGGGGTGTACTTTGCTCCAGAAATTCCGCCGGGGGGAACATCGAGGGCCTCAAAACGAGCCACGAAGGCCCCAAGAGACATCCAAGACGGTCCAAAAGGGCTCCGAGTCGCCGAAACATCGCCCCAAGACACCCAAGATGGCCTCCAGACGGCCCAAGATGCCTCCAAGACGCCCCAAGAGGCTTCGAGGAGACCTCCCAAGAGGGCCCCAAGAGGCCAAAATCGTTGATTTTCATGTGGTTTTCAAGGTTTGTGGTTTTCTCGCCTTTTCGAGGTTCGGACGCTCGAAGACGGCCTAATAAGGCCCCAAGAAGCCCAAGAGGCCCCCAAGAAGGCCCCAAGGCAGCCCAAGAGGGCCCCAAGACGGCCAAAGAGGGCCTCAAGACAGCCCAAGAGGGCTCCAAGAGGGCCCCAAGAGGGGCACACGGAGGGGACCACGAACCAACAAGTCTAACTTTCCGCCCAAAGAGGCTCCCGGGAGGCCCCAAGAGGCCCTCAAGGGGCCCCAAGAGGCTCCCAAGAGACCTCCGAAAGAGGCCCCAAGAGGCCCCCAAACAGCCCCCCACTGCAGAGGCCTCCAAACTGCTTCGGGTAGGCCCCCGAGATGCTTCTCACGAGATACAAACGAACATCCAAGAAGCCTCTGAACCACAACCCATGCAGGGTAGCGGGATGGGCCGAAGGCCACTGGATATACATACAAGCAGAAGTCACGCGGCACCCAGAAGCAGCAACAGCGAGGGTTCGGCGGTGCGGCGTGAGCCAAAGAATCGATGGACGCCCTGGGGTCTCGGGGCTGGTTTCTTGTGGGAGGCTTCTGCTGGTCGGGCCCGTGCTGTGAGGCCATCCCTGCACTTGACGAGGACCCCCGGCGGACAGCCTGCGGACCCTCTGGCGCTGCCGCCCCGCCGCCACCACGGTGGCAGCCCCGCGGCCACGGGGCCAACGCGCCCCACGCTGCGCGCTACTGACGCTGTCGGGGAAACCGACGGGGGGAACCCACAGATCCAACGTATTGAAAAAATCAAGACGGAGGTTTTTCGCTAGTTTCGGCACCTATAGGGGCCCTCGCCGGGCGCCGGGACAGTCAAAAAACGATTCAGGACGAAAAGCCGGTCCTGGGGAATGGGTCGAAACTTCCCGGGACCCGTCTTGAAAAATCACGACATCAGATCTCTGGGAATGACTGCGGAAACCACGAGGAAACGCGGGTGGAAGCCACGGGGAGAAGGACAGGGACAACGGCGGGGAAGCCCATACGGGAGAAGCAGGCCGCGGCGGGTGGAGGAGGCTCCGGCGAGAAGGTCGCACGCAAGACTTCGACGCAGGCCCGCGGCAGTGGAGCTGGCAGCCTCCGCCGCGCCAGCAGCACCCAGCGTTTGAACGCGGCCCGGCGGGGGGGCCGCGCGGGGAGGGCGCCCCGGTCGTGACCGCCGGAAGGACAGGCGGAGACCGTCCGCGAGCACCCGGCGGCGCGGTTGCCACCGCGGCAATCGCCGCCGGGGGGCGCCGCGCCCTCGCCGAGGGCAGGGGACGCACAAGGACGTACTGGCGCTATATGTCCTCCTTGGAGGCGCGCGCGTCCGACCCGAACAGATCGTATACCCATCTCGTAGTCTATCCTTTTTCTCGAGCGGTGTGGCCAGAAAGCGCCCGCCGCGACGCATATGCCATAAGACGTCTCGGTGCGCGCGTCGCCCCTGAGGGGGCGACGCACATGTATTACCAGCCTGGAACATATCCCTATCCCTATGCTGGGCACCTCCTCATCACGATGCCAATCTTAGGGATTCCCTTAGTTTTTTGAGCACGAATCCCTAATATTGTCATTGACTTTTGGCGTGTCAATCTTAGGGATAGGGATACGTTCGAGGCTGGTAAATATAGTATAAGTATAAGTATGTTGGGGTGACGCCGACAGGCGGCAGCCTCGAGGCGCCCCTTGCCCTCCCGAGTGCGCACGCTGGGGCTTCCCCCGGCCGCGCCGCGCACCGTCCCACCGCGCGAGGGGCCCCGCGCGCGACGGCCCGCGCGCGACCTCCTGACCTGCGAGCTCCGGGCAAGAGTGGGCGCTGCTCGCCTTGAGCACGAGCTCGCGGGGCGCCACCTGCACGGCGCAGCGGCCGGCAGACGTGCGCCGGGCTGCGGCCCGAGCGCGGGCAGGACGGCGCCGACGAGGGCACCGTCACCCTGAACCGCCGCGGCCTGGCCACCCGCCAGACGGGCAGCCTGGCGCCCCCCGCCGCGCAGCGCCCCCGTCCCCCCCGCGCCCCTCCTCCGGCCTGTGCCCCACTCCGCTCCCCCCCCGCCCCTCCCCTGCCTCGCGCCGAGCCCCGCCCCCCCCCCCCCCGTCCATCCCCCCCCCCCACCGGGCAACTTCGGGGCCCTCCTGGCGACCTCTCAGGCCGTCTCCGGGCGATCCTGCAGGGCCCCCCCTGGGCCGTCTTAGAGCGCTGGGAGGCCGAGGAGGTGAGAGGGGCACAGTCCCACAGCACTCGAAAGGGAAATTCAAGGATCGGCGCTCGCCTCCCAGGGCAGCATTTGGGGGCTCCCCCCCGCCGCCGCCCCCCCCCCGCCGCTCCGCGGGGGCGCGCGGCCGCGCCTGGCGACGGAGCGGCCGGCCCCTCCGTCCGCAGCGCCCGCCTCCTGTGGATGGCGGGGGGAAGGGGGGGGGTCGGGTCGGAGGAGGCGCCGCGCCAGCTGCCACGGCCGCCCCGCCCTGACTATACCTACCAGACCACCCCAACCCAACCCGAAGACCCGCATTTCGGGTTGGGGAGGTAAGGGTTCCTCATGTGCTTTTTCGATGTCTCCCGACCCCCCCCCCCCCACTAGAAATCGAGGGCGAATCTGAGCCTTCGGGTTGGGTTGGGGTGGTTTGGTGGGTGGTGACGTCCTGGAGTTGGAAGCCCCACGGGGAACAAAAAGGTACAGCTGCCGCTGCTCCCCGGACCTCTCCAAGGGCGCGTCCCGACCAGGGCTTCGCGAGGCGAACCCGCAGCCGCGGCGACGAGGCACGCGCAGCGGCATCGGCACCTTGCCCTCCTGTGGGAGCGGAGAGGAGGGGGGACGAGGACAGGACTCGGGCCGCGAGGAAAGCCAGCTGGGTGCCCTGGCGACGAGTGCCACATCCGCCACCGTGTTGACGGGCGCTTCTGGGCAACCCGGGGGCTCGCCGCGTGACGCGTCCAGAGGCCTCGGGAGCGCAGCTGCGCCTCTGGACCTCTCTAGGGGGAAAACAAACCTACCTCGCTATTGACCACCCTCGCTTCCAAGAGACACCAAACGACGCCAAACTGCGGCCTGTACTGGTCAGGCCGCTCGACGAGGGGGCGCGTGGTATGACTTGGTTTTGCCTGGAAGCGAAAGCGGGGTAGGTAATTCACGCTCTGACTCTCAGGAGGCCCTGGATGGGTCCGTCCTGGAGCCCCCTATATATATACTACGACGCCTCGGCCCACCGGGGGCCGCCCCGCGAGGCGAGGGAGCCCCTTCCACCCCCGCAGGCCCCTGCACGACCTCACCGTGGCCCGTAGATCTGAAGGGGCCCCAGGACACACAAAAAATGCACACACACACACACATACAAGGATTCCCCATATCTTCCCGCATTTTCTGGGTTCTTGTCTTCCCCCCCACTTCCCATATTTTCATAGTTCCCCATATTTCCCTAAGGATCGGCGATGAATCATGTGTTTTTGTTCCCCTCTGGAATCTCCC